AAGCATGGCCGGAACCGGAACTCTGTCGTTTTCAGAGAGATAGAATATCAAACGTTTTTGTGTCTAACAAAAGTCACAGTAGGAAGAAATTTGGACTACGCAAGGGAAATGTACACTATTAACACTTCATTATGACGTTTAACGCTTGTCAATCTTTTTATTCTAGCATTTGCGAGCTCTCTCCTTGATGACTTGAAGTGTCTACCTGTCTGGCAGCGGACAAAGTAACATATGACCATATATGGCTTAATAAATTAGTTCCGGTCGGAACTTTTTTCCAGTTCCGGTCGGATCCAGTTCCGGCTGGAACTTAAAAAACTAGTTCCGGTGCACCCCTAATTCTGATAAACGCAAGTCGTATTTTCATATGTTATGATATTTACAAATAGAACATTTAACAATTATTCGCCGAAGGGCGACGATTATCGGGGAATATTCCGAGACGAAGTCGAGGTGAATATTCTCTGATAATCACCGAGCCTAAGGCGAATAATTGTTAAACTTAGGAAAACACTCCAGCTCGTTTAAAAACAGTACTTAATACGTCAAATTTGTTATATTCACTTGTGCAAAAGTTGATTATTAGCCGTAGTAGAATGTGCTCAATTCATTGTTTCTGGTAGATCAGATCAAATTTTTCTGAGTAGCATACTGCATTTTCTTGGTTTCAAACATGATATCAGCGACAAATTTATTAGATTTCCAATGATATCTCCAATTAAATAACGATTTTGATCGTTTCACCAAACATTCAATTATCCCGGGACAAAGTTGCCCCGGAGCAAAGTGTTCACATGAGGAAAAGTTGTCCCAGCTGGCGAGTGTCCCTGTATACAGAGGCGAGTCACCCGGGGCCAATTCTCGCCCCGGGACAAGTAAAATATCATGTGAACAGCACTATTCTTTTACTAAAGGTCATGTTACACGGTGCAATTTTTCTTGCAACTTGCAATGCAATTCTACTCTTGAGAGATGTAAAATTACCAAATACGAGTCTTCATTACACTCCGCTGATGTTTTCTCAATATATCGAAAATTCTTCACAGATTTCACTAATCTACATCTATATTTATTGAGTCGGTAAAATCCTTTCGAATATCACACCAACTATTTATAACTATACCTATTCTAAAAATCTATATTTACAACAATATTTACAGTTATTAAAAAGAATTGTTTAAATTGTTTCTAAACTGGAGGAGGTTCTCTGAGCTCACAATTCCTTCGGGAAGTAAATTCCATTCCCTAATCGTGCGAGGAAAAAAGGAAAATTTAAAAACATCTTTGGTAGTTTTTGGGACTCTATATTTATAGCTATGACTGCCACGAGTCCTGGTCTCATTATTTACCAGCAAGTAATTATTTGTTTCAACGTCTACAAGATTCCGAGAGAGTTTGTACAACAATGTCAATCTAGCTTTCTTTCTTCTAACTTCTAAACTTTCCCAATTTAGATCTTCAATCATATCAGTGACACTTGACATAGGATTGTAGTTCTTGGAACAGAAACGCGCTGCTTTTCTCTGCACTCTTTCCAAAGCCACTTTGTCCTTGTTAGTGTAAGGATCACAGGCTGTTGATGCATATTCTAGCTTGGGTCGTACAATGGATTTGTATGCTGTTTCTCTCACTTTCGTGGGGCAATTCCACAGATTACGTCGCATCACACCAAGAACTTTCGTTGCTTTACTTGCCACCGAAGAGACATGGTGATTCCATTTTAATTTACTAGTGAAAGTAATGCCCAAGTAAGATATTTCTTCCACTTGATCTAGCTCTACTCCACAAAACAAATACCGCTTTTGGGGAGGATGCTTTTTATTGGAAATGCATAAGATTTTGCATTTTGAGGGGTTGAATTCCATCTGCCATAGATTTTGCCACTGTTCTAGCTTATGTAGATCATCCTGTAGGCGGTCACAATCTGAATCACTCGTAATGACACCATATAATAAGGCATCATCAGCAAAAAGTTTCACAGTTGACTGCAAGTTGTCCGACAAGTCATTAATGTACAATAAAAATAGGAGCGGGCCAAGCACTGTCCCTTGGGGAACTCCTGACGTCACAAGTAGGGGGGTAGATGTTTTGCCTTCACATACAACAGACTGATAACGTTGTGAAAGAAAAGACTCGAACCAATCAAATAACTCTCCAGAAATTCCATAATAATACAGTTTCCTCAAAAGTCGTTGATGGGGTACCTTGTCAAAAGCTTTCGAAAAGTCCAAGACTGCAACATGTGTTGACTCACCACGTTGAATTGTATTCGCCAGATCATGTATGGTTACAATAAGTTGGGTTTCGGTTGATCTTTTTGCCCTAAATCCATGTTGACAGTCCGTTAGCACGTTGTTTTGTTGCAAGTGTTTCATAATATGACTGTGAATTATATGTTCCAATATCTTAGAGGCAATACAAGTCAGAGAAATAGGTCTATAATTAACCGGATCTGATTTTTTCCCTGTTTTGAAGATCCCACATATATTTGCATTTTTCCACTTAGAAGGCACGATTCCTGTGTCTATGGAGCATTGATAAATA